AGCAACAGACAGTGAGACATATGATGATATTATTTGAAATCTTGGCTACATCGATCCTTAAAGCAGGTTGAAAGCTAAACTGATGAATTACCATTTTTGTTGAAGCAACTATCATTGGGTTTCTGTCTCTTGCAACATAAAGATCCAGCTGTAATAGTGGTCTACAAGAAATACCTGCTGATTAATCTGATAGTCCAGTTTCTAACTTGACTGTGAATTGAGTGCACTCTCTTGGGTGAGCATATAGGATGCATCCGGTATAACAGGCTCCCTGTCCGTGGTTACTGAATTAAAGCAGGAATGCTGTCAGCCCTGTACTTGCGCATCCATGTGCAGTACACTTAGTCCCATTGGTGTTTCAAGGAGGCGTGTCAGCAGCTTCCCAGAACCAATCCTGGTTACCTGTATTCCCTTCCTGGGCTCCTGGTCATACTTTTTCTTCAGCTCCTGTATCTTCTCCATGAAAAGACGATACCCTCCTGGTTTAGAATAAACCCCCTGTTTTACACCTTCTTCTAGAGAAGTGAAAATATCCTTAAGTAACGCTTTGCAACGGTCTGATGATTCTTTAAGATTCTGTTTACAAAAGTCATCTCGCTTTTTGTTTAGCTGGGCCTTTAATGTAAAAATAGGAAGTAAACAAAGTAGGGAAAAGATGTTAGTTTGACCTCAGAATTTCTGGAAAGGCTCCTCCCCACCGCCAGAAAAAGCTCTGTGACCCCTAGAGAAACTTGCAGGCGCTCAGCAGGGCCGTATCCTTCCTCCTGATCCTGACTTTCTACAAGTCCCTTTCTGCTTGGAAGTGATTACTAGCAGAGATTACTAGCTTTATCCTACGCCTTTGGGGATAAACTTACGCTTTTTGAATTGGACCAGTGATTACATGCGAAATAAATGGGGCTCAACATAAGCCTGCTCAAGATAAATGAGACTACAGTTTTCTTTGCTTTTGTCTAGAATATCACGTCAGCCTGATAACAATGAGCATGTAATTTGATCAGACGCTCTGATGGTTACTTATATGCATGTAATTAAATTATAGTGAAGATTAGATTATTCATGAAAGAAAGAAATTTTCAGTCCATCATAATTAAGTCTACCAATAAAACTGGTTCTTCTTTTTAAATAACAAATAGTGGTTGTCACCATTTAAAAGTCTGGGTAAAACTGCTTTTGCCAAAATAAGGACCCATTTCATTTTCTAGTAGTACTTTGCTTTCCAAGAGCCTAATCTGTATAAACTTGAGAAAAAAATGACTGCTAATTTCTTTTGAAATAAATGGTCTACATCTTTGAAGGAACTCCTGCCTCTCATAAATCAGAAGAGCAAATATACCGCTAATTTTTTCTGGAACACTTGGTCCACATCCTTAAAAGAGTTCTTCATGAAGACTTTGATGGCCTCTCTCTCACAGGCCCCGTGCAGGTCCAGGAGCTCCTGGAGGGTTTCCGTGGGCAGCTGCACCTTCTGGTCCATCTGCTGGTCATAGTGGGCAACGGCCTTTTGCACTGCGGCCGAGTTCTCGATCTCAGCCAAGGCCAGGACTGCGTTCTCCATGCAGGGAAGATCCCCACTGCTGATGGCACTGACATAGGTCAGCACCAGGGTCTCCAGACCTACGAATAAGGAACAAATGACGTTTGTTGTAGGTGGGGTGAGTAAAGATTCTATTCTGTGTGATCCTGACCATGTCTATTACCAACCGTTTGCCTTAACAGCATCCATTTCCTCAGTGTCACCTGGAAACTTGCTAAAAATGCAGACTCTCAGCCTCTGCCCCAGTTCAACTGAATTAGACCGTCCTCTTTGGCATAAGATCCTTAGGCGGTATGTATGCACATCGAAGGCTGAGAACCTCTGTTGTAGATAGCATAGGCCTGTGTTTACTGAGTGCATTCACCTTACTCCCAAGCACTGTTAGGACAGAAACCATACCTCTCTCACTGAAGTCTGTATCATCAGCCATGGTAAGTCCATGGGAAACCCTGGATGAATATGTGGGGAACAATTCTAAAGGAGTCCTCCTTGCTTTTTGTAGCAGAGCATTAACCAGCAGAGCTTTCTGGGATGATGGAAGTGTGCTGTCTGTGCTGTCCAGTGTAGGTACGAGCGCTTGAGATACAGCTGTGTGATCATTATGTTAAACTTCTTTCATTTTAACTTAGATTTAAATTTCGATAACCACGCCTGTCTAGTGACAGCCATACTGGACAGGGCAGGTCCAGCGTCTAGGACACTAAGCTCTTAGAGCTTTTTCCCTTTGGCCTGTCCTATCTTTTCTCACCTAAGAAATCTGAGTGATAAGGTCTATTAGAAATGTTGGTGCCATCTAGAACTTAATATGCTGATAGCAGTAGGTTTGCATTTTTCAAAGCTGAAAACTAAGGGGATGTTATACACTGTCCTTTAGTCTTAACAGTGAGAGGGGAGATTAGGGAAGAGGACTCACGGGGTCCATTGACCTTGATGCCTCCTGACAGAGTCTTAGTTTTGGAATTGCTAAAGATGTAGGTGCAGAAGAGTGCAGCTTGGTGCACGAATTCAGAGTCCAGCTCATCATCATGCAGTTCTTCAAGCCGGCTAAGCTGCTTCCTCTGAGTGGGTCGATCAAAGATAAAGCATTTCTTCTTTGGGAAGAACTTCCGGATACAGAGTCGAGGCAGATTAAACATTTTATCTTTTTCACTGGTACCTGGAGGAAGATAAAAGAGAATTTGCCTAGTATAGGGGCTTACACACTTTTTCTGAATATTTTAGGCATTTGCAAGCCAGATGGTCTTTTTTCAAAGTACTCTATCTGCCGTCACAGCATGAAAGCAGCCCTAGACAGTCTATAAGTGAAGGGGCATAGCTGTTTTCCAGTAAAACCCTATTTACAAAGACAGCTGGCCATCATTTGACTGTGGGCCATAGTCTGTGAACCCCTGGATTAATGCACTGTTCATGCTTTTATTTAATTTCTTCAAATAAATGACCATTCTACTCCATACTCTGGCTAATTACAGCATCACAAGCCCTAAGAAGATCATATCAATCTAGTCACAGCACAGGGAAAGGTAAAAGAAAAAGCAACTCTTTCTTAGAACAAGAGAAAATAACTTAAAATCAAATCTATTAATTCAGGTATTAAAGAAGCTCTCAGGTTAAGTAATGGCCCCCGAGAAGAAACAGAAAACATAAATATAAGAAAACTGAATGGAAAACTAAAGAATGATAGTTTTGGGTGCTGACCTCATTTATCAGTTCTCAGTCCCCTTTACCTTTCTTCAGCTTGAGTGAATTCTCCAGGTACTCGTCTGGTGTGATACATTGCCCATCTGTTTCCAAGTCTAGGGAGAAATCCCTCAGCGTCCACACAAAGTCTGGAAAGAAGCTCACAAAGTCAGCTGAGTCCTCAACCCCGTCCTCCTCAGGGGAGGATTTTGCCCTGATTCTGTCTGTCAGCTCTGTCACATAGCTGAGCAGCAAATTCAGGAAAACTGGCATAAAAGAAGAGTGCCGCCTCTCCTGCGATATTTCCACATACTCAAAACTGTCGTTTCGCGTTTGTCCTTTCTTTTTTTAGCGGATACAAACTACTCTACATAAAGCAGACAGGCAACAAGGATTTACTGTAAAACACAGGAAACCACATTCAACGTCCTGCAATCACCCCCAATGGAAAATAATATGAAAACAACCACATATACACCTGACTATTGTTGCTGTACACCTGGAACTAACAATGTAAGTCAACTATACTTCAACTTTTTAAAAAGCCTTGACATGCTCCAAAGGGCTCATGCTATTTTGGCACTGCCAGTTTGCTGCCAGGGACATCTGGATGGGGCTCTTCGCCTGAGGAGCAATGCTAGGCTTACCACCTTGTTCTTAACCCAGGTATCAATTCTTCAGTGGGTACATAGGACTTTTTTCCCTGCCCTTGAATTATTTTTTATGTTTCTCTTTTTGGGTTTGATTCACCAGGATTCACAGTTAGGCAGCTATCTTTTTTAAATACAGGTCTCCCCTCTGAATGTGATGCTGTTCTGGACCCCAGAAAGGATACTGTAGTTGGTCCATGGCCTGCTGGTTAATGGTTCCCATACTATTGTATACAAACGTGCTGCTTAGCAGTATTGCTAGGGCAAAGATCCAGGAGTCATTCTGGTTGTCACCCTGGGAATCAGAACACATTTGGGCCAAGATTATATTTCATTGTCATGGCACTTTCCAGATCAGCAGGAGTAAAAGGATGTTCCTTTAATTAGAGGTTTTTAAATTTTTTTTTAGACTAATGACCTACAAAAGGAAACCAAATCTAAGCAAAAATGATTGTCAGTAGGACCTGAACTTTGTTTCATCTTTTTATTTGTTTTTAGAGGAGGTACTGGGGATTGAACCCAGGGCCTTATGCATGTCAGGCATGTACTCTACCACTGAGCCACATCCTCCCCCAGGACTTGAACTTTGAATAGTTTTCTGATTGGGATTTTTCGTTTACACTAATTCTGACTACGCCCTCTTAAGATCATTGATAGATAATTGCAAAACAAATAGTCAATGTTGTTAGACTTTGTAAGACCTTAAATATAATTTAAATTTAAATTTTTCTCTTCATTTTTACAGAAAATTGTCTTAATATAAGAATAATAATACTTGGATCAATCATTCAGCAATTATTATGCACCTAACATTTTCCACTACTTACCTTATGAAATATTCAAAATAATACTATGAGGCAAATGTAGATCTGTTATATGTGTTTTACAGATCAGAAAGCTGAGCTTAAGAGAGGTCAAATAACTTGTGAGGGTCACTGCATTACTGACAGAGTTTAAATTTAAAGCCAGCGGTATGGGACTTCAGAACCTGATCCCTTAACTAAAGTTCTTTGCAGGATAAGATTCATTACACTGATTTTATTTGTGCTACCTTCATGCATCTGGTTCACTGGCGTAGCCTACAACCAACCTATCATTAATAATTAGAATACTCTCTACTGACCACTATGCTCTGCTTCTAGGATTCTGCCTAATGAATATTTTCCTGACCCATAGTTGTTAAGATTGGTCTCATGGCACGTACACAGAAATGAAAAAAAAACATGATTGAGTGCAAGCTCTTATTTAAAGAAAAATTAAGTAGTGTAGAGACTATTCAGAGATGTGGGGCTTATTCCAAAACTGAATCCTCAATGCTTACCTTCTCTACATCCCCCAGGCCCTCAGTGTCAAGCAGAACTAGACTGTGGTTTGGCTTCTTGGGGTGAGGCACACACCACATCCAGATGCCCTTGGTGTGAGACTGCACCGTGGAGCCCAGGGAGAAGCCTGTGAGGGGGTGTGGGGAGAAAAGAGGTAGAGTTTTAATATTAGGTGGTTCTGGAAATTGAGATAAAAGTTAATAAAATCAAGTTTAGGAGAGAGAACTGAAATCACAACCAGTATTAATCTTACAATCAAAGGAGCAGGGAAGTTAAGATACCAATCAACACACCAGAAATAGAAGGAAACTAACTCAACACAAAAAAGGTCCTGTATGCAACATTAGACTCAACGGTGAAAGACAGAAACCTTTTTTCTGCAAAAATTAACCGAAATGCATCAAAGACCTAGAATGTACTAGCTAAAACTATAAAACTGCAAGGAAACATACGTGACATGCTTCACAATATCGGAATTGGCAATGATTTCTTAGATATGACACCAAAAGCATAAGCAACAATAAAAATAGACAAGTTGTACTTCATCAAAACTAAAACTTTTGTGTATTAAAGGACACCATCAACACAGTTAAATAGGTAACAAATGGGAAAAATATATTTGCTAGTCATCAATCTGTTAAGGGATCGATATCCAGAATATATAAAGAATTCCTACAAAAAACAAAAAAGCAAATTAAAAAACCAACCAAATTAAAAAATGAGCAAAGGACCTAAATAAGCAATTCTCCAAAGAAATTATTCAAAAGACTAATAAACACATGAAAAGACACTCAGCATCACTAGTCATTAGGGAAGTACAAATCAAAGCCACAATATCTTACATAACATATAATGGAAAATAAGCTGAAAAAAATATATAACTGAATCACTTTGCTGTATACCTGAAACTAACACAATATTGTGAATCAACTGTACTTAAAAAAAAAAGACAGAGCAGCCAAACATGTATTGTAGATCTTATGTGAATCCTGAAAGTTAACTGATATGTATAAGAGAATGGGAAAATGTAAAACTGAATGAACATTTGATAATATTAGAAAGTTATTAATTTAGAAAACCACAGTGAGATACTTCAGACCCATTAGGAAGGCTAAAAAATCAGAAAATACCAAGTGTTGATAAGGATATGGAGAAATTAGATCCCTTGTGCTTTTCTGGTGGAAATATAAAATGGTAATGCTTCTGGGGAAAAGTTATGGTGATTTCTTAAAAAATTAAACATAGAATTATCATATGATCCAACAATTCCACTTCTTGGTATATACCCAAAATACGTGAAAGCAGGGACTTGAACAGATATTTGTACCCCCATGTTCTTAGCAACATTATTCATAAGAGCCAAAAGGTGGAAGTAACCGAGCCGTCCATCAACAGACAAAAGGATAAACAAATTGATATGCACATACAATTATTCAGCCTTAAAAGGGAAGAGAATTTTGACACATGCTACAACATTGATGAACCTTGAAGATATGATGCTAAGTGAAATAAGCCATCACAAAAGGGAATATAATGTATGAGTCCTCTTACATGAGACTCCTAGAGCCGTCAAATTTATAGACAGCATGTAGAAAGATGTTGTCAAGGGCTGGAGTTATTGTTTATTGGGGTACAGAGTTTCTGTTCGGGGAAACTCATGGAGATGGATGGTGGTGATGTTTGCACAACAGTGTGAATTTGCTCAATGCCACAGAACTTCAAAATGGTTACAGTGGTCAATTTATGTTATGCATATCTTACGACAGTTAAAAATAAAAGAAAGAAAAGTTAAAAGACAAAGTGAAAAGAGATGTGAGCTGATTCTTTCAGATCATAGTGAAGATATGAGCATAACTGTGATTTGAAAGTGAGCTTTCAATATTCCTCCCCATCTCTAGCTTCCTCTCTTCCCATCACCGTCCTGAATGCTGGGAGTGTGGGTGGATAGAAGGGACTCAGGGAGGCTTTGCTGGTGTCCTCACTCACCTTTGCTTTTCCCAGCCAGCTTGTTCATCAAGTAGGATTTGCCTGTGCGGTAGAGGCCCACGATGGCCACCACCACCACTGGCTGCGTGATGGCAGACAGGATGGTCAGAGCTTTCGGATTAGCCACCAGTCGCCCATTAGTGTTCTCAATGAGGCACAAGGGTTCTGGCATGTGGATCGCTGAAGCCATGTTCCCTTGTCTGCAAGAAAAGAGATGGAATGATTTAGAATTTCTAGTCTAAACAGATCAAGAACTTCCACCAGGTTATTTTGCATTCAGAAGGAAGGTCATAAAATTCCCCAACATGGCCAGAAGTTTTGTGTCAACGCTGAGATAGATGGAGGAAAGATCTGTATCATTTTAGAAAGTTACAGAAGTATTATGAAAGTAGTCCATTAAAAATATTGATATCACAGTGATTAATGAACAAAATCTTTCATTTAGTTTATCATGGAAAACTTTCCTTTTGGATTCTCATTAAAATTTTTATAGTAGACATTAAGTGGAAAATAAAATTGGATTTAGAGGGATTTGTTGTACATCCTGGCTATGTGTGAGAAATTCAATCGTGTTTATTCACTAACCCTTACTATCAATAAAGACTTTCATGAGTAAATGTTACATCATTTGATGTACGTCTTTGAACAATTTCCAGAGATTTTGAATGTAGTGTTTTTCCCCCCAACTAGTTACTGCTTATTTTTGCTGGAATGAGAGTCCAAGACTTCTCACACTGCTGTCTTGGAAGTGGAACCAATATCACTTACTATTGCAAATTTTATAAAAATATATGACCTTGTGAATCACGAGGCTAGGGACCCTTGCGAAGCCTTGGTGTGGGCTTGTGTGAGCAGGGGTGCTGACACTTAGACTTGATTAGCTTCCCAATAAATTAGCCTCCAACTGAGTGGGGGGTAAGCTGCACAAGTGTAATCACTGCACGTTGCTAAAACTCATGTTTGCGTATATATGTGTGTGTGGTGTAATGGAACAAAGGACAATGGAATAAAGATTAGAAGATCAGGAGCAGATCAGGAGAGCAAGAGAGAAAGTTGTTCAGAGGACATACCTATTTTTCCAGCCATACAGTTCCAAGTTTTCTGTTTCTTCTTTTTTTCCCTTTTGGTAGAGGGGAAGGAGAAGCAGGAAAAA